TCATGTTGAAACCGGAAAGGGTCTGTTGCTACATAGTTGGATGCACACTATGGTCTAAAATATCACTGTATGCTGTAGCAAGACTGAGAAACTCAGAGTCATTCTTCCAAAAACTTAGAATGTTATGGTTTCTATTTAAGATTTGGGCTTTGACTTTTAGACACAGACGTTTCTGATGTAAATCATCTTATAAATGGCAGCAAAAAGTTTCCCACCCTGTTAAAATCAGAACAGAAAAATTAAAGAAAAGATTTGAGAGCTGGGTTCAGATTCAGTAAACTACTCTTGAACCCAAAACTGCTTTTTGTCTTTATATTTGCTTTATACTCCATTTTATTTGTGTAAATTATTTTTAAACCGACCAACATTCAGCAGATACAGCTTTAAGCTTTACCACATGGACACAAACCAGACTCTATGGTCACCTCACTGTGACATTTGTTCTCATGGAGAGAAAACTTTCTGATTCACTGTTTCCTCTGGTTGTGCGAGTCTCAGTCGACAGAGGTGCGCGAGAAATGTCAAATATTGCTCATCCTGTTTTGAAAGGCTGGCACCCCAACAGTTGATGGAGGATGAAGAAAAGGGGAAAGATGAAGAAGATGGAGATACTGTTTTTCACTCTGATGTTGCTGCTCAGGAAGCTCTCATGGGACAGCATCAAAACCTCCCTCTCCTGAAGCCCCCTCACCACGGGCGACCAGTGACCACTCGCCCCCGAAGAGCCGCCAGATGAGAGCGAGGATGAGGAGCGGTGGCAAAGATGGAGGCAGTGCGAGCACATTGATGGCTAGAGTGATGATTTCCTTCACTCACACACACACACACACACACACACACGTACACACACACACACACACACATAGACACAAATGCCCCCACTCATCCTCACACCTCCTCCCACCTCCCCGTGGCCCTGGCCCTGCAGGCAACACACACACACACACACACACACACACACACACACACACACACACACACACACACACACACACACACACACACACTTTCTACCTCATGCACACACACACCATGGTTAGGCCTCCAATTAAATCAAAAGTGGTTTGTTTTTATTGGTCTTTTGCGCTGACAAGTGGGCTATCATTCTGACGGCTCTACCTGTCAGTGAGCAGCTGAAAATCCTCCGTTGACAATGCCCAATGCTTCCAATTAGGGGAGAATCAGACTCCTGGCGCGCTAGCCATCTTTCCACCCTCCCCCCCAGGCCCACCTTCCCTCCCTCTTTTCCTCTGCACTCGCTCCACGATCCTCTACCATTCCCCTCTTTTCCCTCTCACTCTTGCTCTCCTCCGTAATATCTCCCTCCTCCTTCTTCTTCCTCTCCTCCTCCTCCTCCTCCTCCTCTCCTCTTTCTCTCCTGGAGAAGGGGGTCTGTCTCCGCTGCAAATTACCGACACAAAACGAAGGTGGTGGCGGCGCTGGCGCTGGGAGCTGCCGGTCCAGGGCCCTGTCAGCATTAATGAGACGATGAAGGTTTATTTTGCCCGCATGCATGTGCTAAATTCTTTCTTGTGTGACAGCTGACTGGGAAATGTGAGTGTTAACCTTATAAAAGATTCAGCGGGTTCTCATTATTTTCTGTCAACTCCAGTACCTGATGGCGTTAAGGTGCATCATTTGCATCCCTGACTGGTCCGGGGTGCAGCACCAGCTCCAGAGCAAGAGCCTTTTTCTTTTTTTTTTTCCCCCTGCCTTTTTTTAATGCTGTTTGTTTGTTGAGAGGAGTCATCTTTTTACATACATCCCCCTCGAAAGACACGCTTTACTCGATGTTCCAAAACGACAGAGATGCCAAAGTTTATTCAAAGGCGACACACATTTTTACAAAACATATCTAGATATATATTTACCACACCTGCTCAATTGAGCAAGTAAATAAAATGTTTTGTCTTCCCCCCCCACCCTACACAAAAACCCAGGAAGCTGAGGAGGCCCAGCAGGCATTATTAGCAGTAAAGCTTATAGACTGGACTCCAATAATGCAGAGAGACAAAATAAAAACAAAATAAAGCACATGCCCACAGATAGATTATTAACACTGACAGGGACTATTTTGATGAAACTCCACCTGGTGCCAGTAACTCTTATTTTAGGTTTTGAATTATTAATATTTTAGTAAATATTCTTAAGACTAAAGGCCTGATCAGAACTAAATATCAATGTCAATATTGGTCTTAAGTACTTAAATTAATCTGTACAGCTGTCAGTCCAGATAGAGGAAAAACTGAACTCCATTGAAATGGCCTGAGGGTGCCAACTTTGTTTTGGTAAAAATGTGAGTGGAAGGTGTTTAATGTTGATCAATAATAAAAGTATTATTTAACCATCTCATGAAAACAGATGGACAGAGAGGTGAAGAGAAAGACAGCAATTCACCATGCACTGACCATTTCCTGGAAACATTCCTGTTTCCTCTCTTTAACACGGATCAATAACATCCTCCCAACAACATCAGTGTGTGTGTGGGTGTGTGTGTGTGTGGGTGTGTGTGTGGGTGTGTATTTCATCACCTGGGTAACAGTTGCACTGGCCCTCAAATTCAGACCACTTCCTGGAAAAAAAGAAGAAGAAAAAAAATTGAGCATTGCTTGACCAGAGAGACACTTGTCCAAAATCAGCAGCAGCATGAGCCAAATCATTACACTACACACACACACACACACACACACACACACACACACACACACACACACACACACAAGTCTAGCTCCACTGTCTTCTTCCAGAAAGAGACATTTCTCAGATTTAAAGGATTTATAAACTCTACCAGAGGCCTATATCTTTAACTCTGTCTTTATTGGTGCTAAAACAATTATTTATTTAAACTAAATTCTGACGACTCAACTACTCATTTGTGTCATTTAACAAGCAGAAATGTTTCACACTGCCGTCAATCAGTTTCTGCAGTGAGAGGATTTGCTTCACTGTTAAATATAATTTTAAACTGAATATTTTGGAGTATTTGGGTTTTAGATTATTGGCCAGACAGAGCAAGAAATCTGAAGACGTCACCCTAGCTGCTGAAAACATGGGGTGATTTATTTTTATTTTTTACTTTTTTCTTCACTTTTCTGACATTTTAAGGACCAAGTAACAATTGAAAAAATATCTACAAAATAATGAATAACTAAAATAAGCCTTAGTTGCAGCCATCGTCAATATAATGTGAAATAATCACTATTACCCAAATCTGGCAAGCAAGCATGCTACGGCAATGGCTATGTGTTGTTTTTTTTTAAATCCCTCAAAATAAATAAGCATTCTATTTTATTTTTTCAGCTACCTGCTAGTTGGTCTGTAAACACAGATGTAAACATTTAATTTCACACATTTTGTACATAAAAAAGTGTCGAAAATAAAACATAAACTCAGAGCAGATTGTATTATAAAGAGTTAAATTTAAAATCAAATAATTGAGTACTTTTGGGGTCTTTTAGGAAACAAATCAAAAAAAATTAAAGCCTCTTTCTAAGTTTCACAGGCCATATGAGGACCACAAAGAGGAAAAAGTCAGTTTAATCACCTTATGATTTATTTACTACCACATTAGTGGAGCCAGTGGACATGCGGCACTGTGAGGATAAAGGGAGGAAGACAAAAAAAACTATGAGAGAAAGCATCAAACCACTGCTCCTTTTCATGCACCAGCAGAGGAGAAAGAAACAGCTAAGTCAGGGTGGGTGTGTGTTGCCTTATATCTGTGTTGTCCCCGCCTCATATGTGACAGCTTGCAGCCGTGATGGGACCCCATGGGAGCGGGGAGCGGATTCACTAACCTGCCGGTGTCTGAGACCGACGCGCGCCTCCAATCTGGTGGTCACATGGGGTGGAGGAGGCGGAGGAGGAGGAGGAGGAGGAGGAGGAGGAGGAGGATGGGGGGGGGTGTCGATGATGATGAGAAAGGGGTTAGTTAGATTATTAGGGGCTGTCGGGGCCGTCGCACGGGGCAAACTGTTGGAGCTCAAAGTGCGCACAATGGTATTTCACGCATGTTAGGGTGAAAAAGTGCGCACAATGGCACCTCACGCGCCTTGAAGTTTTGCGTCACGCTGCTCGGACTATTGTATATAATTACTGGGGACTATTAGATAGTTATTATGCTCTTAATGACGGCTGCTCAACGGCGAGTCATTGTCCGTGCTCCAAAACAAAACCTTTATTACATTTTATTATATTTCTCACCCTCAATTGTTCGTATTTGGAAGACATCTTAAAAAAATAATACCGTGTCGAGGTGGCCATGGTGTATCTTGGGATTTTAAAGTTGAGATTTTCGACTGAAGGAAACATTTTGAAAACCTAAAAATAAAGTCCTACCGTTTAAGAGTGACAATCTTCAGCAATAATAATAACAACAATAATAAAAGGTCAAAAAATAGAGGCCCAGCACATTGAAATTATTTTAAAGAATAAAATAACTACCACCCAGGGGCTGTTAATAATAATAATAATAATAATAATAATAATAATAATAATAATAATAATAATAATAACGCCTAATAATAATAGTCTAGTTTTGGTTAACCTAGACAATATAAATACACAATAACTACAAATAAAGTCAGTAAAGATAATAATAAATAAAAAGTGAAATGTTAAAAATGTGGAAGAAGAGGAGCTGTGGAGGTGGGAGGCAGATCCGGTGAAAGACAGCGAGTGGAGAAGAAAAACACCGAGCCGCTCCACATAATAACCCCATTATAAGCCTCATCAATGATGTAATGAAAGCAAACAGTGTGAAAATTGCCTGTAAACAGTTGGATCTGAGTCTCCTGATGAATTCAGTGTCTCTTTTATCAAAGTGAGGATGAGCCAGGGAGGAGAGAGGAGAGGATGGGGGACGCAGGGAGGGATGGGTGGGAGGCAGAGTGAGTGGGCGTGTAGGGAGGTCCACTTCCAGCTCCCCTCAGCCAATGAAGGCTTGTCACAGGGGACTCACGTGGACGAGGCGCTCTTAAAACCTAGCTCCTGACTTTTCCTCAAGTTCAATTTTTTGGGATTCCCTCCCACCCCCATCACATCTCGTGCTTTTACTTGCCAGTTGTGACTATTTAACCCAGTTTACCTCTCCCTTTTTTGCGCTTCTGCGGCGCGCATCGCATCGTCCCGCGTCTTCCGCTTCTTCCTCTTTTCCTGCCGCAGCTCTCGGACTCCTCTCTCTCTCTCTCTCTCTTTCTCTCTCTCTCTCTGCTTCGTGGGTTTTAAAGGTTTTGTTGTTCTACTTAGCAGAATGCGAACAGTTTTCTTGTGTCGTTTGTGCGGCCACATGACGAGCTGCCCTCACCGTTTGTCTCCGGTCCTGTCTCCGGTCTGACGCGCCTGAACCTGTCCATGGTGCTGAAAGGCAGTTTTTATTTTTTCCTTCCCGAAGACGCTGGTGCGCTGTTAATGCTGCTGCTCTCACATTTTCAGAACTAGTCATTATTTCTGCCTCTTTACGGTTTCCTGCAGGTGAGATCATTTCTGTGGTTGCTGGTTCATCGTTCAGGCTTCTGAACTCAAACCAGGAGGAGTTGGTTCCTAAAGGAAGCAAAAAGAATCGATTGTGACTCTCCCAAAAGAGACTACAGCGGCGGCATCGATTTAAGGAGGACTCATCTTTTCAGACTTGACCAAAAAAAAAAAGAAAAAGAAAATCGGACGCATGGACGGTTGTTGTAAGGCAACTTAGCCTGGAGATATTTTCTCTTTAAAGAACCAGTGGGGGAACTGGAAATAGTGGATGAATAATCTTCATTTGTAGCGTATCCAAAAACATTTTTCTTGGTGCGGGGAGGGGGGTTCTTTCTCTTCTACTGGATCAACTGAGACTTTAACACCCCCCCCCCTCCCTCCCTCCCTCCCTAAAACAAAACTTGTCCTGAATACCAAATGGTAGTTTGAGGAGGCCTCGATCAAGACAATGGAGGCGTCCGCCAACGGGTCCAGTTTTGGCATCGACTCGCTGCTGTCCCACAGGCCTGGAAGTCCGGTGTCCAAAGGGGACAGCCTGGTGGGGGAGTGCCGCTCACCTCTGGAGTTCAGCCCGCGATCAGACGTGGAGAGCGGCTGCTCGTCGCCTCCGTCGCCGAGGAGGGAGTGCGCGGAGGAGGTGGCCCAGAGGCAAGGTCACGGCGTCGGCCTGCCGCAGCACCTCCAGCACGCGCAGATATCGGCGGGGTCGCAGCAGAGGACCGTGACCTCGTCGTTCCTCATCAGAGACATTCTCGCGGACTGTAAGCCTCTGGCCGCCTGCGCGCCTTACTCCAGCAATGGACAGCCGACCCAGGAGGCGGGGAGGCTGGCCTCGAAGATAGCGGACGACTTTATGGAGAAAATCCACAGCAACTCGTCGTCAGACAGCGAATATAAAGGTAAGGATGTGACTGTCCCTGCTGTGGGGATCAGATTGGAGGGGGAACTGATTTTGCGTTCTGGTTTAATACTGGATTTATATATAATATATATTCCCTCTTTTAAACATAGGATTCTAGTTGCATCTGAAGTAGCTCGTCCTGCCTTTCAGTTTACTTTTCTACAGGGCTACAGTTTTTTTATGTTGTCCAGCTGCAGCTCGTCTTTTTCTGTCTTTAAAACTGATTTTTAATTTAGCCAAACCTCATTAAAAAACGATCCAATAATAAATAAAATAAAATAAAATAAAAGTCAAAGGTTGGTTCATTTGTGGTGCAATCTAAACTATAGTAGGGCATGAAGTTGGAACAACACTAAAGTAAATTACAATGAAAGCCAAACTGCCATTTAAAAAAATATTTAAATGATATTTTGTTGCGCTGAAACATTTATAAATATAAAGGCATACATATAATTTAAACAGATAATTTTATTGAAAGTCTCTCAGGCCTTTGAGATTATTTTATAATAATAACATGTAGCTTTAATGCTAAAAATAATATTTGGCAACTGAGATTTTTAAAATCATGGGGGGGGGGGGGGGTAATGTAATAATGTAAAACACAGTAACATGTATTAACCTTTATCAATAAACTGACACTACATTTAATTAGTAGCAGGCCACCGGAGCCTATCAATAAGGATATATCGACCCGGTCCTCCGCTGCTGCACCACGGTGGTGGACACATTTGCAGATTTGTCCCCGCACTTCCAAATGAACTCCCATTTTCATTAAGTTTGTATTTTAAAATCAACTGCTGCCCCCGCGTGCGTGGTTGCGTGCGTGGATGTGTGCGTGCGCGGCGCGTTTCAAGCTTCTCGCATTAGCAGAATATCCAGAAAGCATCTGTTGATGTCAGGGAGGCAAGGATGGGAGAGATGACAGGGTCGCCTCCAGATAAATGCCATCAAGGGCCTCTCTGTTTCCAATCATGTCAGCCATAACAGACATGTCACCTCCATTGACAGTTTAATGAAGCAGTGCCTGGAAAGACGACCGCTGTAGGCTACAATGGAAAGATATACCTGTGTAATACATCCTATAAATTATTAGTATAATTATAATTATACTAATTATTATTATTATTATTATTATTATTTCAGTAGTTTGGTTTTATTCTGTTTCAGTCACTTATGTGTTCACAATGCTTTTCTCTCTAATTCACTTATCCTGTAAAGCTATTGATAAGGCGTCACGTCATCAATTTGCTCAACAAACTCGGTGTACGTGCGCGTGTGCCTGTCACAGTGTGGATGGAGGCGCTCAACGGCGCGCTGATTGATTGAAGGAGCCGCGGGGCCCACAGAGCGCCCTGTACGGTAGCTTTGATTTCCACGAATCCGCCTCCTATAATATTTCAGGGATTTGATGCAATTTGTCCCCGGCGCTAATCAGATTTGTAACCGCGCAAGGCCGCCCGGCTCCTGATTTCCACTCATTTCCACGGTCCTGTGAAGTTTCTCCGGTCGCGGTTGAAAGGCTCTGTCCTTCCCTTGTGGCTCAATTAGGCGGATTATTGTGCTTCTTGAGACGACTCAACTATTCAACTACCAAGATCTCTCGCCTCGCTCGCTTCTCTGCCCCTTTTTTCTTTTCTTTCCTTTTTTTTTTTTTCCCCCTTTCAGAGAATTGACTATAAGATGTGTAGTCTATATCAATGCTCGCCCTGACATGACACCGCGCAGTGAAAGAACAAAGAGGGCGGCTCTGCTGACGGGAGAAATATCAGATTGGAAGAGCGAATATTGGAAGAGCTTTTCATAACAATTTAAGACCAAATCAAATAGCTCCATATAGCCCATAGGCACTGCTGCAGCGCCGTGATTTCACTCCCAGCACTGGAGAGTGTCACTTCTTCTCTAATGCAGATACACTGCTATAGAACACAGCATGCTGGTAAAATGGGACTTTTTTTTTTATTTTTAGCAATAAATGTTTGAAACCTTAACTTTATTTAAAATTCGCATTAAGCAAAATAGTATTAGTTTGAGTCACTTGGTGTTAAAACCACTGATTTAAAATAATTCAATGTCCGGTTTCATTTTCTGCAGTTTCCACCACTTTTCTCACGCTGATGTAAAACTTAATAAAATTACATTTTAAAACAAATAAAGCGCTTTATAGCTCCAAAGTTGGGCTTTATCACGTCCTTTGTAAGGGGGGAGCAATATTTGTATTATTATTATTATTATTATTATTATTATTATTATTATATTAAATCTAGCTAAACAATCAGCCATTATTAAGCCTTTATGTGTAGCACACATCATACAATGTAACCCAAAGTGTTTCACAACTAAACACAAGCAGTCACTGACTGCATAGAATTCTGTTTAAACCACCAGAGTTTATTTTATATTTTACTGTTTTTTCTCCAGAATCAAAATCCTTAAGCAGCTTCACACTGATGAAAAGCTACAGCGCCATAAAATGGAGCACTTCTAATGTACTTTATATTTTTGTTACAGTTGTCTGTCTTATATAATGCTGCTGCACAGATTTATTAACGCCTCCGTGTCTCCAGGCTGCCCGTCCACACAAAGATGGACGCAGCGCTTCATTGTGAGGCCTTAGCTCCGTTTTCACCGTCTTCTGTCTCTTTTTATTCTTTCCAGTGAAAGAGGAGGGGGACAGGGAGATCTCCAGCAGTAGAGACAGCCCTCAGGTCCGGCTGAAGAAGCCCAGGAAGGCCCGGACGGCCTTCACGGACCACCAGCTGGCCCAGCTGGAGCGCAGCTTCGAGCGGCAGAAATACCTGAGCGTCCAGGACCGCATGGAGCTGGCAGCCTCCCTCAACCTCACCGACACGCAGGTCAAGACCTGGTACCAGAACCGGAGGTAAAGACACTGCTGGTGCTGTACTTAAGAGGGGGGAGGGGAGGGGAGGAGAGAGGAGGAGGAGGAGGAGAAGGGATAATCTGGTTTCTCACGGCTGGATCATGACTATATGGACACAGGGACGCCATGTTTTCCTTTCACCATCACCCTAAAGGTGACATGAGTCACTGCAGGTCTGCAACTAACCGCTATTTTAATTATTGATTAACCTTCTCGATTAATTGATTAATCGCTTGCTCTTTAAAATTAAGAAATCAGCGAAACCCCAGAGTCTCGATGCTGTCGGACACGGAGGAAGTCCTGAAGAAGACGCGCAATGTGGAACTAAATGAACTTTTAACAACTCATTGATTATCATGTTCATTTCTAATTCATTTTCTTTCAACTTTTACTTTGAAATAACAGGATGGCCTAATAAGTGATTCATTGATCTGATATCTTTTAGCTATCAGAAACACATCACCATATTTCCATTGTCTGGTCAACGCCCCCATGGTGTCATTTCTATTTGATTTTTTAAGGTTTTTATTTCGATGTTGTCCCTCTGTTGAAAGAAAAGAAAACCAGATTCAATCATGGACACATTTATTGGGACGCTTGTCAGCCCCGACATTACTTCTTCCGTTTTCAGACTTTTTTAGGCTGATATCCGATTAAAGTGACACACAATGACCCTGCAAATAGTTTGAAACCCGAGGCGCCAACTTCCTGTAAATAAATCAAACTACATGCACCAGAAAGAGAAACCGTCTGCGTCAATGTAAAAACACCTTTCCTGCAGTTTTCGGTTGAATTAACTTTAGAATTTATTTGTGTACAGTTTTGACTCCCAGGCAGATAAATGACATAAATAAATATAAAAACACAACACTTTGGAGTATGAATAATGCATCGTTGCATGTGTGCATATCAATAATTCAAACAAACCACTATATCTACTCAATTATCTTTATTATGAATTATTCACCTGCATGGAGTGCACACTGGCAATCTAACAGACATCCTTGGGTGTGAATACAAGTGGCAGGTTGGATATTTGGGTGATTTAAAAAGAAAAGCAAAACAGATGTATAATTGGACCCCAGGTAAACAGATGGGAGTTGTTTTGGTGTGTGTCAGATTCCAAACACACTCACTAACGCGTTTATACACATCCTAAAGGCTAAAACTAAGTCTTTTTTTTTTTTTCCACCTCCAGGACAAAGTGGAAGAGGCAGACGGCGGTGGGACTGGAGCTGCTGGCGGAAGCTGGAAACTACTCCGCCCTGCAGAGGATGTTCCCGTCCCCGTACTTCTACCCGCAGAGCCTGGTGTCCAACCTGGACCCCGGAGCGGCCCTCTATCTGTACAGAGGCCCCTCGGCGCCCCCTCCGTCCCTGCAGAGACCCCTGGTTCCGCGGATCCTGCTACACGGCCTGCAGGGGGGAGGCGAGCCACCCCCTCCGCCGCCCCCTCTGCCCCCCATGTCCGGCGTACTTCCTCGGCCAGCTCAGCAGCGGTGAGCCGGCCCCTGCAGAGCTGGGTTTCTTTTTTTTTTTTTTCTTCTTTCCTTTTGTTTTTTTGTACGCCGACATTGGCAGCTTTGGACTCATTGGAAGAAATGAAACAAAGACAGAAAATGATAAAAACGTGACGAACACGAGAAGAAGAAGAAAAAAAAAAAAACTGTTCCAGGCCTTTATGTGGTCCGAAATGACCGACAGGTTGAACCCTGTGGACTGAAACTCAGACTGTCTGTGTGGAAGGATTTGTTTTTTCCTGTTCATTTGGGACATGAGCTTTATTTATTATTTATTTATTTTTCGATATGAATCAAAGAATCTAAGTTATGTATTTATTTGATCCAAGTTTCAGTATTTTCAGTGTTTTCCCAACAATAGATACAATTGTTGGTTGCACTTTGACCTACAGTTTAATGCCAATTAGACCCCCTGTTGGCATTATTATTATTATTATTATTATTATTATTATTATTATTATTATTATTATGTAGGCGTTCATGGGTAGTTGAGGCGGAAACAAACTATGTAATTTGAATATAATGTAGTCAGAGGATCCAAAGGAACAATTAGTATTTGTTTTTCTTTATAAATCTGTCTTTGTTTTTTTTTTCCTTTTCAAGTGAACAACAAGATGATCAGCAGTCATAAACCTGTAAATAAGAATATTTTGCATTTTATTCGAAAGAGACTGATTTTAAAGAAACTTTTTTTTTCGGTTGTTGGTTTGTTTGATCTATTAGTGTGTCTTTTTCAGACCACGGTGATCCAGTTTAACATAATAGGCTAGATTAGCCATCAGAAACTATACAGGCGAACGAGTCAGAATAAGAATAAAATTAAAAAATTAAAAAACAGGAAGAAAAAAAACCTATTTGTCTGAGAAAGGATGGACTACCTGCCTGGACCCACATGTAGGCACCAACACGAGAGCTACGGAAAGAAATAAATCTATATAAAGTCTTTTTCTTGTTCTTAGTTGAAGTTTTAGCGGAGTAAAAATGTCAAGTAATTTATAAAAAAGCAGTTTTATCCCTGCGGAGGGGGAAACGGAGGACGCAATCACCTCAGTAATGTTTTTATTTTGTATTCTTTTCGATAAACCAACCGATCGGACTCGTGTATCGGGTCCACGTCCAGGTGTAACTGCCTGTTGATTTGCTATAGATGTATTTGAACAGACGTTGTGCATTATGTTATTTCATATGAAGCCGTGATAAACCCTTAATTGTTATACTCTCCTTTGGTGAAAATGTATATTGCAGATATCAAACTTGTGGAGTGGTTCTCGTATATTTCCTGGATCGTTTTTTTTTTTTTTTTGACTTTTTTTTTTTTTTCCCCCCCGTTCCTCTAGCTTCCCCCAAACTCTCTCTCCCCATTTCGTGAAGTTCCCTTTTTTTGTGAAATTCACAGCAAAAGTTGGACAGAAAAAAAAGGGGGGGGGATTTGATGTAAAAGAGAATTACTTTTATAAATGTGGAAATAAAAGTCTTTCATTTAATCACGTGGCTGCTTGAATATGTGTGAGACAGGAAATGCCACGGGGCTGTCTGCTGGAATCAACACGTGGATTTAGGCTGTTCTCTCACATGGACTTCTCCTCCTACAATGAGTGCACCTGATGGTCTCATGCAACCAGTGGATCTCCAACAAATGTGCACTTAAAATGGTTCCTTTTGATTTAGATTGCAGAAGTGTTGATTCGGCTTATGATCGTGTTTTATTAGGTGTTTAATTTGTACATCCACTGCACACATTTTAGTCTTTAAAAAAGGAACTGATTTCAGCATTCCCATGAAGAATCACACAGGTAACGGTGGATAATAATGTCGTTTCTCAATAAATATTGTATATTTAACATCCACAACAAAAATCAAAATTTGGTGTAAAAGTTGAGGGAAATGTGATAATTTAACACTCTAGTTTGGTGCCAAAATAAACGCCTGTAGCTATTTGACCAATCAAAAGAGGAAAAATAAAATCGAGTTTTCTTAGCCTATCAAAGACAGAAAACTAGCCTGCATTTTAGGCAGACCTATGATACATGTGGAGGCCTTAACTGTCCACACTGGTAAAACCAATTATTTACTATAAAGTGATCTGAGCACATGGCAGTGTCAATGAGCAAAGGCTGAAGGTTGATGGGTGGTGCAGCTTTTAATTAAACATCACTTTTCTGCAGGCAGCTCGAAAATAAACACCATTTTAAGGGCTCGCGGGTTTCCCATTAGAGGAAAGCGTGTTTGAGTGAATTTGAACATGTCTGTCAAACGACTTCTCCCTCCTCTGTTTGGTTTAGTGTCGTTGATTTAATTTGTTTAATGTTGAGATGAGGGCGTGAAAAAAAAAAGAAGAAGAAGAAGAAGGAAAAAAAGAAAGTTAATAAGGGTGTCACCACTGGAGCAAGTAGTGCTTTAACATCTTAACCTTTTCAAAAGAAGAGCGGAGCTTTGCAGAAAGATTTGACGCTTTAAGTTGAGTTTGGACAAATGTTAATGTCACTCTGTGTTAATTACAAAAATACTGGCTTTAATTAGGCTCCTTATTGAATTATTTCCCATGTCTTTTTTTTAAAGGGTATGAATGCATGAACACAGCTTTGATTGACTTAAAGGTCCGAAAAAAAAAGAAAGAAAAAAAAAAAAGAGGGGGGGGGGGCCCCCCCCCCCACACACACACACGTTCAAAAGTGCAATCAAAGATCAATTCCAGCTAATGTCTTTAGAGAAGGGCCAACAAAGCAGAAGGGTGTTCTGTCCAAAATGGAGCCCTGTACTGTCCACCCCCTCTCCTCCCCCTCCCTCCCACACCATTCCCACTTTCCTAAATTAACAGCAGCAACTCCAATTCGTTTTCCATAAACAATGCAGGAGATGAAATATTAATGTTATGTGCGCAATTGTTTAAGTGCCCTAAATGATCCCATTTGGAAATTGATTGTTTCCATCCTTCTTTTCCTTGAGGGTGCTGGATGTGCGCTCCTCTGCCAAACGGCTCCAACAGCTGGTGACCGGGCTGGAGCTGACTGCAGACCGGGGATCAGCGTGGGGACAGCTGGTCAGCGGCTCCGCCACCACCCCCTCCCTCCTCCATACAAATTTCACCCAACCACCCAAGCACCAAGCTCACTCTCCTCCCCTCCAAGTCTGTGAGGACCCCAAGTTATCCGGCCGTGGCGCGTTGGGGGTTAAAGGAGTTCAGGCTGACGGACAAGACTTGGCGTGTAGGATGTTAACGATTAGACAAAAGACTTTAATAGGTTTTAATTGAAAGTCGATAATGGGTTTGATAGCCAGCTCCCCCTGCTGTCATCCACGCATGGCACCTGTTATCTGGGGCCTCCACTTAGTGGCTGACCACGCCGTGAAATATCAGACTGACGGCCTGGTAACTGGCGCGTTTATGATGCGTAAAATTGCATTAAAAATACAGTGGGCCGAGCCGAGTTCTGACGACTGATGGGAAAGTAAAGAGGGGGGAAAGGAAAGGGGGAAAAAAAATCTAACACGTCCCCAACTTGCCAAAAGATCATTATAGTCCCATCATGAGGATCCGTGACCGATTCGGATAACGACGACCCGTTTTATGAAAAGGGGGTTATTCTTGCAAAGTTCACAGCTGATTATATGAGGAAAAGCCCCCGTGTGTCTTGTTGGATGACTCGGAGATTTTTTTTCCCCCTTTCTTTTCTTTGCATGTGAAAGGCTGGTGGTAAATCCCCCGGCTCTTACCGTGGATTGTCCCCGGCTCAGGGTTAATGAAGTGCGGATGGAGTCTCGTTGAGCTCCCGACAGACAAAAAAAAAAGGCTTAGACCCAGAGGATCAGTGACTGCTTAATCCCATGGACTCCTTATAATAATAATAATAATTCAAAAGAAAGAAACAAAAAAAACAACAACAACCTTTTGATGAAATTAAGAGTGAATCAAAGCATCATTTGCATTGTGCTCGTGGTGTGAAAGCTTTTATATTTCCTTTCATTCGTTTTCAGTGGACCAATGAGGCAAATCTGCAGCTTGCATTAAGATTGTTTCAATACACTGCCAGCGTTTTGTTAGGAAAAAATCCGCGGGGGAAGATGAAAAATAGATCAATTAAAATGTTCAAGAAACGCATGGCCTATTTTGCCGGGTTTTCCTCAACAATAGCCGTAAACTAAAAGAGCTCATTTTACAGTTTGGTGCGCATAAGCAAAATGTGCCTTTATATGGGCTATTATATCTACTGTTAGTAAGAGAAGAAATTACATCAATTTATTCCCACATGTCTATACCCTCTATATCCTACATACTAGGCTATGTATTTAGGGCATTTTGGAATAACCTTTCAAGCCATCATAGTACTCAGAAGTGTTTCAAAACAGAGCAAAAGCACTTTATTACACGCATGCCCTCATGTGTAATACTCCAAACAAAGTGTTTGACTTTGGTTCTAAAAAAAAGAGATTTTTTGTTTCTTCCACATCCATACACAAAAGGCCTGTTTTTTTCTATTAACAGGGAAATAAAAGTTTGAATAATGAATCATGCAAACTGATTAAAGTGTTTTTAAACGGAGTAATGAGAAACACAAAATATGTATGTAGGCTATATGGTTTTTATTTTTTAATATGGCAGTTTTAAATAGATATGGTAAAAATGTAAATAAAGGCTGCAGTTGGATGCACTGATGTTCAGTTTATGTTTGCTGTATTTAGAGTCTATACGCTGCAGGCAGGGGAAAAGTAGGACACATTGTATGTACTGACCCGGGCAATGTTATCTTTTCCCCAAATATATTTTATTTCACCTTCATATTCAAAATCTAAAATTATAAAGTCACCCAGGTTCATTCACCTAACCAGCAGGCTCAATAGCTGGAAATAAGGAAGAGAGGGAAAAAAAGAAGAGAGCGTTAAAATGAATCTGACTCAGCAATGAACAGAGACACTTAGAGAGATGAAGTACATGATGAAGCATCAGCAAGTGTGAAGGGGGAGAATGTGGAGGAGTGAAAGGAGAGCAGCAGCCTCCTGGTTAGAGATCCGCTCCTTGCCTGGAGGTACGGGGGGCCGTGAGGAGGAATGAAAGCCTCGCCGAGTGGTGGGGAGATAACCCCACTAATCATTTCCCCAATATGACGGGGGAGAACTACAAACTTGGGTCAGGGGCGCGGGGATTGACATCCCAATCTCAGCAAATAATGAAAGCTTTCCTCTCGGATCAGAAGGAGGGTTAGGGAGGAAGACAGGAGAGGAGAGCGGGAGAAGGGGGATAGACGCGGGGAAGAAAGAGGTGGGGCTGCTGCTTCACAACCACACACATAGCCTGCACTTGAAACCTCTCATTCTTTCTTCTCTACTGGACTGCAGAGGACACGCATTTCCAAACTGAAACTGCTGACATTAGCATATGTGACAGCCTCGAGATGACCCTCCCAGGCACCCTTAAAACCGCCAAAAACGTCAGGAAGGTCGATAAAATGAAAGCGCAACAGAAGCCCCTGCTTTGAGAAAAGTTCTAGAAAAACAAAAGTCAAATCTGTCAACAAACATAACACTCTTTCATTACAGTCAGCTTTGTCTGGCTGACAGTATCTTATTCATTCAGCTGCCATAGCCTAGCTAACCAAGCTATCAATGCTAACATAAGCAGACTAACTATACTGCATTCAGATGATATTGCAGTGGGAACAAAGTGAACATTATTCTAAAATGCTAGCCTTGTAGTAGCTAAAAAAAAAAGTCACAGAATAGACTAAATTATAATAGTTTTATAGTTTATTCCTAAAGTTGGTTAACAAAATAGTTGCTTTTAAATTAGCCGAATGAAACGATAATATTGGATTTTATTTAGATGCAACCAGTGATGGTGGCCTACGCCCATTTTTTGACACACAACTGAGAAATATTGTAGCTGTCAGAAATTCACAAAATCTCCAATTTGGAAACTGTGACAAGGAGGCAGATACAGACAGGTTTTCCTACCTTGCAGCTTGTAAACATTAGTCCTGCGCTTTGACGTGAATGCAACATTTTTAGACTGAATACGAAGCTTAATGTCAGTACTGAAATCAATAATGTATTGCACATTTCATACTGAGGAATATAAAAATGTTTTTCTCAAAAACTAATTATTTTTAACAATATAAGCCATATAACAAATATCTCAGGGTTTAATTTAGACTTAACTGTGAAAGAACTAAATAAAACTTAAATAAAATAGTCTAAAATTAGCAAAATAAATACCAAAACAGAAAAAGCGTGAATGAGACAAGTAACCAGCATATGCCTGTTTGATACTAAAGATACATTTCAGTTGGTACCCAAAAAGTTCGATACCCTGTCCTGGAAACGGTATGGTTTAGCCTACTTTCAACAGTCAAAAGGAATCTCTGATACAGTTCATACATGGTTGAATAAGTGTGGTAAATGGTCAGTGTGATTTTAGCCCAATCAAACTGCTGAACTGATTGATTTTACGGATAGATGTAGGGGAGTATTATGTGGTATATTAGGTAGA